AGGGTTCACAAAACCAGCCCAAAGAGCCAAGATAATGAATGTGATGATGAAAAAAATATTCTTCTTATTAAACCATGTTAACCTGAAAACCATCAATGTCAATGTCAGGCCTCTAGAGAAAGATTAATCAAACGTTCTTCGTGTTTTTATAAACAGGACAATATTCAGCGAGAATCATGATGGCATCAAATGTATGTAAGAAGACTTCCGCAGGCATTTATCAGAAATTTTCTTTTCCCCAATTTGAAAAACATAAAAACATAGTAAACGGTTTAATAAATAAAACAGGCAAAAAAAATTGGAGCTAATGTTAAACAATATTATCATGAATGGATATACTGTATGATATATCCATAGTCCACGAATAACAGCTTTTACTAGGCTGTATGGAACTGCTTTTTCACAGACCTAGAAAGATTAAAATCAAAACACTTTTAGGCTTCGTTTGGGACGGCTTTTTTATTGCTTTTTAAAACGGAGTTTTAGTACAAAAAAAAAAATTGTACTAAAACTCCGTTTTAGAAAGCAATAAAAAAGCCGTCCCAAACGAAGCCTTAGCCTTCGTTTCAAACAGCTTTTTGACTGTTTTTGTAATAGGAAAAGCAGCCAATAAAAAATTGCGTATGTTTGGATGACAACTTTTTCAAAATGTTACCTTCAAAAATATTCTTTTTGGAAAAGCACAGTTGAAATTGTTGTTGAAAAAATTGCTTTTAAAAGCAAAAAAAAAAAAGGCACAATCCGCATCAAATGAATTTGACACTCAATTTTTTGAAGTCATTTCTTTGGACAAAATCAACATAAGTTTTATGTCTGTGTCTGACATTGAGATTGCATCCCTGCCTAAGCTCTTTAAGTTTTGTTCTTCTCTTTAGTCTAAGCATCAGTACATTATATGGGCATTAAAAGTAACAATGATGGAAGGATAACCATATCCTCCTCTAGCTTACTACATATGCCTAAATACTAAATTGATCCAAGGATTGTTAAAAAAGGACTCTAAATCCTCCATAAGAATAAGTGACATAACACGTAAAGTGCATTGAGGAAAAAAGAATAACGCTGAAATGATATCAAGACCATGTACAAGCTATATGAGTTCTATAAATCGACAGAATAATCTCACCTCCAATGCCTTCTCTTCATCATAAATAAATTTTGGTAACCTCCTCATCAAATCCTTCCGGTCAGTTCCAGCAAGAACCTTGCTAATCTAGAGTGAGAATGAATTCATGCAGAAAGTAAGGACTATATTAAAGCAAAGCTAAACATATGAAACAGGCAAGATAAAAGTTTAAGGACCTGAGGTGCAAATACACAACCAAGAGTTCCAACAATTATTCCTCCCAAAACAAAGCCCCCAATGAAGACGCCTGCACTACTTGTTCCTTCATCCCTGAGGAAGTTTGCAGGAAAGAAAATTTGCTGAGAATAGATTTCCATCCTCACATAGCAGGTCTAAAAAGCATAATGTTTATCGTTCTCAGAATAAAAGAAATAATACATTAAAATTACAAATATGAGGGAAAAATATGTATGCACTTTATTCCATGATTATATTATTTATTCCAGTAAAACCACAGGAATCAAGAAATTCGGGAATTCTTTTGGGGGAGAGATGAGAAGTAAACACCACAATGACGAAACAAGCAAGAAAGTAAAAACAACGGAAAAGTAAAGGACACTAAGATTTAACGTGAAAAAATCTAAAATAGGGGAAAAAACCACGGAACCACTCCACACCAAGAAATCCACTTATGAAAATTGAGAGAAATAAGTACAGACCCCTCTTCTCTTTCATTCTATCCTTTCTTCTCTTCTCACATGCACTGTTCTCAATGTCTACATACTCAAAAAATACAAGAGAAAGTAAGTTATAACCATCAAGGGACGCAACCCTTGAGAAAAACAAAAAAAATAATTGCTCAGTCCGTCTTGTAGCGCTGCGGCGCTCAGTCTTTATTTGACAATGCTGCAGTGCTCAAACACTCGGTGTTGTGACGCTCAGTCTCTGTCTTGACTTGCTGCGGCGTCATATCTCAACTGATGTGGTGTTATGCTCTCTGTCATTCATCACTTGAGCACTCGGGAACACAACGACGGGGCGCTCGGGTACGCAAAACCGGGGCGTTGTACAAAAAGAAAAAAATTTCAGGTGCAGGCAGGGGAGAAACCCCCGCACCTCCCAGTGTACACGACAAGCTTTGAGATCCTAGACAAAAGAACAACCCGATTGATCAATGCAATCAAATTCCACACAACAAATTTGATATGGATTTTTTTTATGTACAGATTATTTAATTTTAATTAAATAATTTAATAAGAATAAATAATTTATAAAATTGAGTTCCGTGTTAATTGCAAGTCAAAATTTTATCCTTGACTTGCACACGGGTAAAACTTTTTTGACTTTTTATAGTGTGGCGACCTAGGTAATATAGGTATCTTTCTTAAGTATTTTTAATATCATTGTTAAATTTAGAGAACTGGAGAGAGAAAATGCTTAATTTTATTATACAAAATAATCCCTATTTATAGATCTATACAAGATGATTTAATAAAAAAACAAATAATTACAGAATCAAGCATAATTACCTTAATATAATCCTTTCTAAATCAGCCACCCAAATATACAAGGAGATCGGCGTGATCCAGGTAAGCCTCCCACGGATCCCTATGTTGGCCATGAGATCAAGTACCAAGAGACAGTTGAGATTTAACAGCGTGATCAAGGTGAGCCTCCCATGGATCTCCATGTTGGCTGTGGGATTAAGGCACAAGGGACAGTTGGGATTTAACACTCCCCCACATGCTGAGGAATACAGATTTATCATTCCCAGCTTGGTAAATAATCCCAGAAAGGTAGAGTTATCAAAGTCCTTTGGGAAGAATATTTGTAGCATCAATTTCATCGTTTTCTAGCACCCAATGCATCTTGGTTTCACCTTCAATAAACTCCAACGGCTCTTTCTTTAGGAGCAGCACCGTTACATCACCATCATACAAAATTTATGCATTCGTATACTTTGAACAAAAGAATCAGCAATGCCATCATAAAACTTCTGATCATCTAGCCACCAAATTTTTATCTTTAAACCAACAATTGTGTCATCCAAGCCTTTCCTATGCTTTCTTAGTCCAGAAGCCTCTTGTACGGCCTGAGCATGCTTCCATCTTTATTATGTTTTACCAGTATCTTTAATATGGTTATGATCTTTAACCAAATCTTTCACTATGCTTTACCATTATCTTTAATATGGTTATGATCTTTAACCAAATCTTTCATTGTAGATTTTTGAGAAGACATAATTTCCTTTAATTTCAATCCTTTGTCTTCAGCCTCAGTATACTTAAAACTCCTTTATGCTTCTTAGTGCCAACAGTTTGCTTATTTTCTGATAATCTCACTCTAACTTTTCTTTGAGATCCATTTCTATCTCCATTACTTGGAAGCTATTTGTCATAATTACTCTGAGATTTTTTCTTATTACCAACTCCATAATGATCATTTGCTAATTGACAATTGCAATGAAGCATTTCTTCCTCCTTTGTGAGAACTTAGACACGTGTATCAGGCTTTGTTGTACCTGAATCCAAGCTATGTTCAGTATAAACTCTAGATTTATCACTATAATAGCAAAATTCATCCTTTTTCTTTGCATCCATGGAATCACCATTCCCATTCTGAAAAGATCCATTATTCTTCATCGGTTTGGAAGATCCATCTGCATCAACAATAGATTTTTCACGATGAAAAATTTCACCTTCCTGTTGTTCAGATCCCTAAGGCGAGTCATCATAAAAGAACCGCTCAAATAATTTATGGTTAGCTTCCCAATTTTCACTGGAAGCATTCATTTCATTATGTATCGTGTGTTAGGTTTCCCCTGAAATACAACAACAACAACATCAAGCCTTTATCCCACTAAGTGGGGTTGGCTACATGAATCCTTTTTCTCTATTGTCCTGTTAAGAGTCAAATTCTCATTTAAATCTAATAACGAAATGTCATTTCTAATATTTTCTAATCCAGTCTTTTTAAGTCTACCTCTGCCTTTCTTAACATGGTCAAATCTAATGCATCTACTCTCCTAACAGGGTCATCGGAAGACTGCCATTTTACATGATCAAAACATCTAAGGCGACTCTCTCTAATCTTATCTATCACTGAAGTTACTCCAACCTTTTCACGGATATGCTCGTTTCTTGTCCTGTCTCTAAGAGTAAATCGACTCATCCACATGAGCATCCTCATCTCAACAACACTCAACTTACTATAATGCTTTTCTTTTAATGTCCAACATTCTGCACCATAAAGCATTGCAGGCCTCACCACCACCTTGTAAAATTTTCGCTTAAGTTTGAGAGGTACTTTTGTATCACAAGAAACCCGAAGCATTCCTCCACTTAAACCATCCAACTTGAATTATACTAATAATATCCCATCAATTTCACCATCACTCTGAACAATAGACCCAAGATATCTAAAACGAGTACAATTATAAATAACTTGATCGCTCAAAGTCCATGTATTCGATTTTAGATCTACTCAAACGAAAACCTTTAGACTCTAAGGATGGCCTCCATAATTTGAGTTTACCTTTAACACCCCCTCTAGTCTTATCAACAAGAAGAACATCAGCAAGAAGCATATACCAGAGTACATCCTCTTGCAAATGTCTAGCAAGAACATCCATGACTAAAGCAAAAAAGATAAGGGCTTAAAGCTGATACTTGATGTAATCCAACTGAAATAAAAAAATACTTGGTCAAATCACCTTGTGTTTGAACACAAGTAATAGCTCCTGCATACATATCCCTAATGACTTGAATATAAGCATTATTAACCCCTTACTTTTCTAGAAAACTCCATAGCACTTCTTTGGAACTTTATCATATGCTTTCTCTAAATAAATAAATATCATAGGTAAATCCTACTTATTCTCTCTAAACTTCTCTATCAGCCCTGTTAATAAATGAATAATTTCCATAGTAGACCTACCCGACATGAATCCAAATTGATTTTGAGCAACATAAGTATCATGTCGTAACATATGCTCCATAACTCTCTCACAAAGTTTTAAAGTATGACACATCAACTTTTTTTTTTTTTTTTTAGTTAAAACCCACTTTGGGGCCTACGTATTAATATCAAAAAATCGGTTACATAGTCCTTAAAAGGATCCACAAACTCTCTAATGCTCGACTAAGCTACAATCAAAAAGTAAAAAAGACCTACGAGTCCGTGGTTCCTTATCCTAATAATACAATTAAGATAAATGCTAGTACTAATGGTGTTGTTAGCATACGACACCCAAAAAAGGAAGTTCTGAAGATAAGAGTTCAGCATCCACTTCCTGCAAAAAAGAAAAGGCCAAAAAAGAAGCACAAAAAGAAGCAACCAGAAAACTACCTGGATAACAAAGAAGGTAGAGCGCGGAGGAGCTAATGGTAACCTGCATAGAAATCTCCAAAAAACCCAATGAGAGCAAATGAAATAACACAACGAAAGGGAAATGAAAAACTGGTCAATGCAGCCATTCAGAAAGCAAGCATCCAGCGACGTAAAGTAACAGGTCATAGAGCTCGGGCAGCAAAAAAAAGGATTCATAAAAGAATTAAGAGATCTCAGCTGCATCTCAAATAACCAAAAAACCCAACTACAAAACGCTTGACAGAAACAGATAAGAATAACAAGGTTTGACATAGACCAGTTAATAGAAAAAACGATGCCAGAGAACATCCCATGACACGCCAGAAAAACAATGAAGCAGAAGTTGCCCAGAACATCACGAAGCGCCCAACCAACAGAGAAATAAGGAACGCCAAAGAAATTAATAGGGAACAACACAGCAAACAAGAAATTAACCATACCTAATATAGGGTAAACCAATATTATCTAACATGATCATACCCTGAAGGAGCGGATGCAAATCAGTAAGATTTAATTCTTCATAATGAAAAATATTGCATCCACGCTTAGCTAACCAATCAGCGCAAACATTAGCTTCACGAAAAATGTGAGAGATAACATAATTAAAAGTAGACAGAGAAATCTTAAGCTTTCTAATAAGATAAAAATTCTCAGGATTACCAGGAACCATATTGTTAATAATCTGAATAAGAAGAAAAGCATCAACCTCAATCCAAATAAATCTAATACCTAAATTAGTACAAATATTCAACACAAGGAGAAGAGCATGAATTTCAGCAGAAATCGCAGAATTGCAAATAATGGGGGCAGAGAAAGCAGCTAAAACTTTACCAACCTCATCTCTAATAATACCGCCAGCACCAGCACCGTTAGGGCCAAGAGAACCGTCAGTATTAAGCTTAATATAAGGAGGTTTGGGTTTTATCTACTTCACCATCTTATCAACAGCAGCAGTGTAAATATCAGCAAAATGAATGCCCAAAGAATTGGTCAAATGAACACAGTTTTTAAAATTCTTCTTAGAAATAAGTTTGTAAGAATGCATTTGAAGAATTTTGTGTTTAACATTAGAAATAATAGTAGTGGCATCCATAACAATACTATTATGCTTAGCATCATTGCGAGATTTCCAAATAAACCAAACAATTAAAATGGGGATAAGATTTAAAATGTGACCTTTAGAGTTTAGGAACCAAGTTTTGATAACAGAAATAAAATCATCATGCGTAGCAAGCAAAGGTCTATAAGCAATATTCCCAAAATAACTCCAAACAGTTTGGGCAATGACACCAGACACGAAAAGGTGATCAATAGTCTCAATATCCGAACAGCAATGACATTTAGAGGATAGTTGGAAACCTTTCATTTGAAGCCTAAAATCCACAGGAATATAGCCTTTGATACATCTCCAAATTAAAATAGAATAAGATAAAGGAAAGTTCATATGCCAAATAGCCGAGTAAATAGTAGAGCAATCCTTTTTAATTCTGAAAGAATTCTAAACATCCTTTAAAATAAAATTGCCAGAATTAGATAAAGAAAATAAAATTAAATCTTTATCTTGCAGTTGCAGAGGGACCTCTAAAATTTTATCAACAATGAAGGGAGGAACCACCTCTCTAAGTTTAGCAATATCCCACAAGCCATTTTGAAAAAAGTGAGAAATTTTATCATTACTAATAGAATGCGTATTCAGCATAGTATCAATAGAAGCATACCCAAGCCAATTATCTTGCCAGAAATAAATATCACCTTTGCCAAGGCCCCATTGTATGAAATGTTCAGCCTCCCACTTAATATTACACAGCCTCTTCCAAATAAACGAGTCAGTATTTCTATAAAAGCATAAAGAGGGATGAGTATTAGGGCAGTACTTAATATTCATGAAACGAGCCCAAAGACTGACGTTAGATCTAAAAGAAAACCATAATTTAAGTGAAAAAGCTTTAGCCGAGTCAGTTAAGGATTTGCAACCAAGGCCACCTTCCGACAACACACCACAATTTTTATCCCAAGAGGACCAATGAATGCCTTTGTTGTTAAAAGAGGAGCCCCAAAAAAACTTGTTTAAAATCCTCTCAAGCTTGGTACAAATGGAAGTGGAAGGTAATAAGGTATGAAATAGATAAGCAGACATCGAGTTAAGAACAGACTTAATCAGAGTGAGCCTACCACCATAAGATAAAAAATTAGAGGACCAATTGTTAAGCTTCTTCTCAATCTTAGAAAAGATGTTATCAAAAAGAAAATTCCTTTTTTTACCTTTATAGATGGGGGTGCCAAGGTACGTAATGGGTAAAGCTTTAGGCATAAAACCACATAATCTTTGAATTCTTTGAATTCTGTTCTGATTGACAGAACTGCTAACAAAAAAAGTGCTTTTAGCTTTGTTAATAGATAAACCACTATGATTATAAAAACTGATCAGGAAATTCAACAGTAAAGAGATGTTGTTAATAGAACCATTAGTGAACAGAATGAAATCATCAGCAAAGCTAAGGTGAGATATAGATAAACCTCTAATAGTATGATAATTTAAATTAGGATGTCTCAAATATAAATCATTAAGACCTCTAGAAAGAAATTCCATAGCTATAATGAAGAGAGCAGGAGACATAGTGTCACCTTGTCTTAAGTCTTTGGAAGATTTGAAAAAACCATTATGCTTGCCATTAATAATCACAGAGAAAAAATAGTTTTCAATACTATTTTTGATAAGAGAAATAAAAGATCTGCTGAAACCAAAAAGAGAAAGAATCTCATAGAGGAAATTCCAGTTAAGGTTGTCATAGGCTTTAGAAACATCAAGCTTAAAAATAACATTGCTACCTTTAGTTTTAACATTGATATCATGAGTGATTTCTTGAGCTAACAAAATATTATCAAAGATGCTACGACCTTTCACAAAACCCGTTTGATTCAAAGAGATAATGCTAGGCAGAATGGTAATAAGTCTATTTGCAATGATTTTAGAGTTCAGCTTGTTGAGAAAAGTACACAAACTGATAGGTCTAAAATCATGCCAGTGATTAGGGCCATCGCATTTAGGGATGAGCACAATATAAGTAGAAGAGAAAAATTTAGGGTAGGGGTTACCAGCAAAGAAATCCTCCACAGCATTAATAACATCCTCTTTGATAATATCCCAATTATCTTGGAAAAATTTAGTAGTGAAACCATCAGGACCAGCCACCGCACTACTATTGAGATCCTTGATGACTCTAAAAATCTCCTCTTCGAAGGAGTTTGGCAAAGCATAATATTGTCATCCTCAGAAATAATGTTAGGAATAATATGAGTGTTAGAAAAAGGCAAACAATTAGACGAACTGGTAAAAGCATTCTTAAAGTAAGCCACACCAGAATTGCAAATAGCCTCCTCAGAAATAAGAATAGAACCATCAACATCAATAATTTTATGAATATGGCATCTAGATTTCTTCTTGTTAGCTAAAGCATGAAAAAATTTAGTGTTTCTATCACCTTCCACAATAAATTTAGCATTGGACTTTTGATTCCAATACCATTCTTCTTGACGTTGGAGAAGAAGAAGAGAGTCTTTAGCTTGGTTCAAATCAATCATGTTATCAGAATTGGGGTTACTTTGGAAAATATTCTCTAAATAAGAAACCTTGTTCTCGGCATCTTTAATATTGGCAAATAAGTTTTTGAAAATGCATTTATTCCACCATCTTAAGCACTGCTTTAATCTAGAAAGCTTAGACCAGAGTCTTAACATGCCAGAAATATTGTTATCAGGATACACCGGGGCATTCCAGTTAGTGGACAGCATTTTAGGAAAATCAGCATGTAACATCCACATATTTTGAAATCTAAAAGATAACACATTGTGCTGCAAACTTTTGTTAATGTTCAAAAGAAGGGGAGAATGGTCAGAAAGAGTTCTACTAAGATGTTCGATACTAGAAGAGGGTAAAAGAGCAAGCCAATCATCATTAAAAAGAAATCTGTCGAGTCTTTGCCACAAATTGGCTCTATACCACATGTAGGGACTACCAAAATAACCAATATCATTAAGGTTGCAGTCACTTATCATAGAATTAAAATCTTCCATAGCAGTAGCATTAGGAGCATTACCACCAAGTCTTTCCGAGGAGTTGGAAATAATATTAAAATCACCACCGATGCACCAAGGGCCATTAATGATCGAGGCAAATTGTCTTAGTTGATTCCAAAGAGGAAGACGGTTGGTTTTGGTGCAAGCAGCATAAACAAAAGAAGCATAACAGTTGACATTGAAAATAGAAATATAACAGTGGCACACTTGAGGAAAATCCTCAATAACATTTAAAGAGATAACATTATACCAAAATATTCAAATTTTATTGGAACAATTAGCATAATAATTAGAAAAACCTAATAACTTAGCAGTAGAAGCAATGTTGATATTCTTAATTAAAGGCTCAATCAAAACAAATAACTGAATATTATGAATTCTACACAAATTACGAACACGAAGCTTGGAATCCTTACCACCAATACCTCTAACATTCCATAAAAGGGCTTTAATCATTGGAATGTTTTGAAGAATTTTGAGCTCTAGTTGATCTGGGGGTTGGTGGTAAAATCTGTTTGGACTGCTTACCCTTTTTCTTAGGAACCTGTATAAAGTTATCATCATGAGGGCTGCTAGAAATAGCTTTGTAAACATCTGAGCCAGATATGTCGGAGATAGGCTCATTATTCCCAGCATACGGAGGTATGAACTCCCCCTCTTCAACTATGAGCTCCCCCTCATTCCCATTATTATTAGCAGTAAGAGCATTGTTATCTAATAACATCGGAGGTAAGCAATTCTCATTAGGAACACCAATGTCCTCTTCATTGAACATAGAAGCAAGAGAAACAAAAAGTGTAGGATCAGTTATAGCAACACACTCATTAACATGAACGTGCGCAACATTGGTATGACACATCAACTTAATTCCTCTATAATTCACACAATCTTGTGCATCACCTTTATTCTTAAAAATAGAAATCAACACACTTATTCTCCACACATCTGACATATTTTTAGTCTTCAAAATTGTTAAATCTCAACCTCACGATCACAACAGAAATCCACGGCTGTGAACAGTAATCCGTGGGAAGACTACCTGGATCACATTAATTCCTTCCATAGTTGATTATTTATTCAGGAATAATTGTATTCTCATTATTATAGAGTTATTTGTTTCCTTATCAATACATCTTGTATAGATCTATAAATAGGGAGTGAATTGCATAATAAAATTTAAGTTTTTCCTCTCAAACTTCATGATTGCAACATGGTATCAGAGCTTTGAAGGAAGTAAAGAGGAAACCATCGAAAGCCAGAGTCTAGCGGGACGAAGACCTACCGGACGCAGCCTAAAGCCGAAGTCTCGATCTCAAGGGATGGAGCATTGCCAATGGAGCCCGAAGCCTAGCAGACAGAACCGGAAGTCGCGTCCTCGTGAGATAAAGCTTTGCCGATGGAAGACGAAGCCTCAAGCCATGATCTTAGGGGAGAAGTTCTGCCGACAGGAGACGTAGCTTTGCCGACGGAAGAAATCTCGCCACGATCTCAGGGGAGAAGTTCGGCCGATGGGAGACATAGCTTTGCCAACGAAAGAAATCTCGCGGAGGAAGCCTTGCCGACAGTGAGAGAGGAAGCCAAAGTACGAAGCCGGGAGCTGCGTGCGTAATCTTGCAGGAGAAGCAAGGAGCTCCTTGCATACCCTCTACCCGATCCGAGTCTCTTAAAGACTCGACTCGACCCTGTTAATTAAACCGAGAAAGAAAAAAAATCGACCTTTATTGTCGATTAGAAAATTTTTGGGAGCCTTCAATGTTGTCCAAAAGTCAAATAGATAGTCTTCATTACTATTATTTTTGGGAGCCTTCAAAAATTAACTCTTCTTCAAACACTGACCACCTTGAGGATTCTATGGTGCACCAAGGACGAGGTGACCTTCAACTAAATGGGAAGAAGTACCTGAAGTGGTCTCAATTTGTGAAAACCTACTTGAAGGGGAAAGGTAAAATACATCACCTCCTTAAAGGAGGACCAAAAGAAGGAGATCCCAAATTTGAGGCATGGGATGAAGCAGACTCCATGATTATGTCATGGTTGTGGAATTCCACGACTCTAGAAATTAGTGATACATTTATGTTCCTTTCGACTGCAAAGGATATATGGGATGTGGCCAGACAAACATTCTCCAAAGCTCGTGATGCGGCTCAAATCTTTGAAGTTAAAGTTAAAGTTGGAAGCACGAAGAAGAGGAGTAAGACTGTGACGGAGTATGCCACCATTCTACAAAATCTGTGGCAAGAACTTGACCACTATAGGTGCATTGAAACCAAATGTCCCGAAGATACTACGATCCTAAAGAATTTTATTGAAAAAGATAGAGTTTATGATTTTCTTGCAGGACTCAAATGCAGAATTTGACCAAGTTAGAGTTCAGATCCTCGGCAAAGAGGAGACACCATCACTCAACGAGACCATTTCTCTCATCCGCGCAAAAGAAAGTCGACGAGAAGTGATGTTAGAACCAAATATCGTTGAAAGCTCAGCAATGGTGATGAACAAAGAATCATCATGGAAGGAGAAAGTTAAATATTCTTCAAAATTTAAAGATAAAGACTCACTTTGGTGCAGCTATTGCAAAAAGTCAAGACACACAAAAGAAACATGCTGGAAGATACATGGAAAACCCCCAGCAAGGAGTGGAATCAAAAGGGTGAAACAAGGAGCACATCTCATGCCAACAACACTACAAGTAAACTAGAAGCTCAGTCCAGCCTTGAAGAATTCAACAAAGAAGATATTGATAAATTAAAACGACTCATGGTATCTCTTAAAAAAACAAATGCTTCTTCTTCACTTGCACTCTCAGGTAAGACTCCAATTTCTATTAGTTTAAGTGCTTCCAGAAATCATTTAAAGGAATTATGGATCATTGATTCAAGAGCCATAGTCATATGACCCACTCACTAACTCACCTCATAAACTATACTCCTTGCCCAAGCAATAAAAAAATCATCACTGCTGATGGTTCTCTTACCACGGTAGCTGGCCAAGGAGACATCATATTATCCCCATCCCTCGCCCTAAAAAACGTGCTCCACATACCACAATTATCTACAAACCTGATATAAATACAAAAACTTATCGATGATCATAATTGTCAAGCACTGTTTAACCCTACTTATTGTTTATTTCAGGACCAGAGATCGGGGAAGAAGATTGGACTTGCTGAGAGAGCAAGATTGTACTACCTGGAAGAACCAAACCAATCTAAAAGGAGTTGCTCTTTATTATCCCTAGTCGATAGGAACTCCACTATTTGGCTTCATCATTATAGACTAGGACACCCATATTTTGATGTCCTAAAATATATGTATCCACAACTTTTCCATAAATTAGACAATAAAATTTTTCATTGTGAAACCTGTGAGTTGGCTAAACATAAAAGAACATCATTACCAAACAAAAGTGAGAGATGTGCTACTCCTTTCTACCTTATTTATAGTGATATATAGGGACCTTCTAAAATTCTCAATATCTTTGGGGTACACTGGTTTGTGTCATTCATTGATGATTGCATTAGAGTCTCTTGGATCTATCTCCTTAAACATAAATCTGATATTAGCACCATTGTTCCCATCTTTCATTCCATGATCAAAAATCAATTGGGGGTAAAAATAAAGAGTTTCCACTCCGACAATGCCAAAGATTATTTCAACCAAACCCTTTTCTCCTACTTCCAGAGTAAAGGGATCATCCATGAGTCCTCCTGTGTTCACACCCCACAACAAAATAAAGTTGCAGAGAGGAAAAATGGTCACCTTCTAGCCTCCACCCGAGCTTTCCTATTTCACTACAATACACCCAAATCCTATTGGGTGGAAGCTCTTTTAACTGCAGCGTATCTCATAAACCGACTACCTTCAACAACCTTAGGCCTCAAAACTCCAATAGAGACCTTGTCCTCTTTTTACCCAGAGTTTCGAACCCATCATAATCTTGCACCCAAAATCTTTGGATGCATTGCCTATGTTCATATTCACAGTCAGGAGCGAGGAAAATTAGATCCAAGAGCACTCAAATGCATCTTTATTGGCTACTCTGCTACCCAAAAAGGGTACAAGAGTTATATCCACCCACAAAAAAAAGCCTTAGTCTCTATTGATGTTACCTTTGCTGAACGAAATTCCTATTTTTCAAAAACTCATCTTCAAGGGGAGACTAAACTTGAGGAAGATGAGGAAAATGAACTAGCACCTCTTGACCTTCCTCCACCACCTCAGAAAAATCCACATGAAACCCAAGAAAGGGAAACAAATGACAATGCTATCATTAGATTTGGAAAGGTTTACTCCAGACGTACAAGCTCAAGCTGTGCTCCAAAGAAGATCCAAGAATCTGAACCATCTCCTAAAAATAAGGTAAGTTCACCACCACCCTTATACCCTATAAACAACTCTATATCCTTCAACAACTTCTCATCGTCACACAAAAATTTTCTTGTTACATTAGAAGATATCCATATTCCTAAAGATGTTTCTGAGGCCTTATCTGATAAAAATTG